GGTTTACTCTGCAGGTTAAGCGTGTTGTCTGTACCGGCGGGCTAGCGTCACTTCTCCACGTTCAGAATTCCCTTTTGATTACATTTAAATTTGAACAGCCACGCTGATGTTTACAGCCGCGTTAAGTGGGTCTCTTGTGACCACGGCATCCAACATCGTAGGTTGTGGATGTAAAAGACTGCCTTAAAGACACGTCACTCTAGAAATCTAATGCAAATCGAAGCCGTACACGTACGTGCTGGGTTATAAATAATTCTAAATTTAAGCGTTTAGTTAGTGAGTCTAAGGGAAAATTCTTTGATATAAAGTCTCCGGCATTCAGTCGGAATTCAATAAATATAAGAGACAACTTTATGAGGTATTTGTCGTAATGTCCATTGAAGCTTAGAGATGAAGTCGATGTTGGCGATACGAGTTCGAATCTGTTCCTGAGCAGCACTTGGCTGTGGGCTACCTGTCGTTATCTTACGTCATTATGTGTTCACAAACTGATTATCTGTTGATTGAAAGTTGAACAGATAACCAGTCTCTGCCATTGACTGACAGAAGACATAATCTGCATTAGTCATTTTACTGGGACGCACGAATTAAGACACTGAACGCATTATGATGAGAATTTTTCCATAGAATGAAACCTTCTCAGACATAAGAACTATATTAGATGATAACCCAATAGAGCGCATGCGTGAATTTAAATATGTAACGTGCCCAAATTGTTAGGCACATTTGGAAAATGGTAGGCAAACATCGCAAAATCCAGTCCTTAGAACCTGGATTGTCTTAACTGATTTAATTAAGTGGAGCTGAAGCTGTTTTATGACAGGTTGGTCCATCTTTTGCCACGTGATGGTTGACGGTATATCATAGTCAACAAACGTGCTTGTTTGGGGCAGGTCAGTGCTCTCCCTGGGGCGACAGACGTACCCACATCCCCTTCCTGCCTATAATGTGGAAGTTATTGATCCAGACCAGAACATGCCCTAGGAAGCATCATCAAGCACATACTTTTTACGTGTGTTCCAGCATCATTTGTAATTGCCTTCATCCGCGATGTTGTAATTTAGTTAAATGAGGTGCGGACGTGGTAATTATTAATTCCAAAAACAAGTTGTGTCCCAGAAACGTGATACTAATATATTAGATGAAGTCAAAGATTAAAATTACGCAATGGTGAATTAACAAAGTATCTTGTCATCGTTTGAAGCTCCTCACGCGTATGTAGGCTCGATATATTTATCTTATCAGTAGTAGGATGGTTTTACACCAGGGTTTAGTCCTGCAAATTGAGGCGGTATGTTCATGTTTGTATGAGCCTGGAAACAGCCCAGAAGTCCAACGTCGAAAACAAACCTACGACATTCAAAATCAACCATTGAAAATTGTTGTATTCCCAACGTGGAATCTCACTGTAATTCTTTGACCATTTCAGTAGTACTCGGCAAGAAGTGTTTAAATTAAACGTAATGATTACTCATCTTATTAACCAGTGTCACAGATTTAACGACGACAGCTGCAGTCTGCGTGT